CCTTTCACCCGTGACCTGTCCCGAAAGGGTTAACTTATTTTTCAAATTTTAGATATAAATATGTATTCACATATAATAACTTTTAATAATCCAGCTGACTACTCTTATCTTATGGATATTTTAAACTTTTAATTTATTTTGCTGTTTGGCTTATTTTGGTTTTCATAATTATAAATATATACATGAATATATATATATATATATATTATAAATAACACAAGGTGTTTTTAACCATACACTAACATGACACAATGAATCACAAACCTTCACTTTCTGTACTTCCTCAGCTTGAAATTCAGCACTACAGTTGTGATGAATGAAGCCAATTCCTCCACATAGCTAAGAGAGAGAGAAAGTTAAAATTTGTTGTGAAAATATTTTTCTTTAAACCTTGAGAACCTGCAGAAGCTCTATTTGTTCAGTTAAAAAAATCTATAAGCCAATATTACTTCCTCCACTCACAAAAAGTAACTAGTTTAACTGTCCAATAATTTGCCTTACCTTTTATGTCAATGCATTTAATCAGAATTCTGAATAATTTGAAACCATCAAATTGCATTCATAGTGTTTTCTCACATTAACAAATATAACATAAAACATTTGGTAATTGTTTTTTAGAAATTCTAGTGATAAAAACTTTAAAAGGTAAATCTTACATTAAAGTTTCCACTGCACCTCAAATAATTTATGCACTTAAGAAAAGTGGTTCTTACCTTGAAACTTACAGTATACTGAAAATTAGTTACAACCTAACCTTGGAAGAGTTTTTATACTGAATTCAGAACCTTACAAATTAGAAACAACTTTTACTGTAAATCTTGCCATGCAAATCATATCTAACATTATTTAGTAAATTATTTTAAAATCTCTAAACACTTTTTATCATCCATAAAATGCAAATTTTGTTTATTTTTTTTTTTTTAATAATCATGCACTCTCCTTACAGTTTCAAGTAATATACAAGACCCAAAAATAATATTTTTACGTAAACCTAAACAATAACTGAGTATTTTTCTATTTTTAACTAGGATTTCATGTTTATATATGTACATAAAAACATTTTAATTTTGCTTCATAAATGTATTTTTATTTCAAGTTTATGTTTCATTGCAGCCATACTTTTGTTTATTGTGCCAAAAAAACCATTTGCTGTAAACTATCATGCCTGTTGGTGGTCACTCTCGTTCAGTCCAGCACAGGTGCATTTGAACACTACTGTGGATATGACAGTAAGAAAGCTTTATATCATTTCTTTGAACTTTCAAGTTTATTTCAACATTTGTCCTTGTATGTTGTTTCACTGTACAGACAAAACTAATTGCCACTACTAGTGAATGTATGTAATAGGTTACAGTACAAGTGGTTTGAATAACTCTGCCTGACCCTAGTTACGTGCTACATCCTGTTGCAGGAGATTACCAAATGATACAGACACCATAAATTACAAAGAAAATTACTTTACAGCACTTAAAAGATTAGACCTGGTCACATTCATCTCATTATGGGCAAGATTTATGTTGGAATTCAAAAATTAAGCTGTTCAGTGGATTGAAACCCCAACTGTGAGAATGTCATAGCTTCCCCTGTATTATTGAGACAAATGTATTTAGTCTGTTTCATAACCAACATATGGGTTTTATTGTTGTCATTTGTACAATGAGTTTAAACCATTTGCAAAATATCAGAATAAACTTTTTATATATCAGTTAGACAGTTTTAATTATAAAGCAACAACAACAGAAGTGTGGGTCTTACTGCAAAGTAAAGATAGTTAGAAGGAAAAATATAAAATTCTTATATGGTATTGTACTAGTAGTAAATACAAATCACACAAGTTTATCATTCTAAGTACTGAACCATATTTTTATTATGAACTAAATATAAAATTACACTAAATTATTGAACTTAAAACTACTAATTTAAATGCAAAAGAATATAAAAATTATAAACTCTTTTCAGTTCAAAGTGCTAAGCCTAATTCACGTAAAGAACATGCACTTGCCACTCGATAGATCTTAACCCTAGTAATCGTGGATCAACTTCTTTCCTAAAAATATATCTATTTTGAGTTAATTTTTTAATAAAATGATTAATATAAATAGCTATATGATACAGCATGACTTAAGCTACTATAGAAAAATAACAAGAGTTACATACATCCCATGCAATTATTTCCAGAAGCAAATTTTCCAAGGCTTATAAAAATGTACTATTGACTAATAATAAATACAACCTCTACATAAAATGGCAGTTACTATAATAAGCACCCTTCGCATTCATATTATAAAATCAAGAGAACAACGTTTCGTCACATGCTTTGCTTATCATCCTATGACTTGTCAACCGTGAAATACAGCGATTGGAATAACATGGTACTGAAATTGACACTTTCGATTAGGATTGGCTAAAAGTTTTACAACTGAGGTTTAACACTCCCAGACACTATTTTATAAAGAACTAGAAAAAGGTTTAGATACCACTCATAGATAGAAGGACCAGGACTAAAGTTCATGGAAAATTTTTTTTTAAATGTTGAAAAAAACTTTCTTCTTAAAGGGCACTTATTTATAGTCTCAAACATATTTTGGGATTTTTTTAAATTAAATTTCTCTTTAAACTTCAATAAATAATACAATTTTGTACAAATAATTGAATGTTATACTACTATTTACAAAAATAAAATCTGAAATCCAATAAAAGATAAGCTCTCTATAATTTTTTCAATTTACAAATGTGATTTTGCCTTCAAAGCTGACCTCAAAGGACTGAATGGTCTTCTGGCATTTCACCTATTTAATATTATCCTTGCTGCTCTTTTCTATAATGATGAAAGTTCTAAGGCTATCAGTACTGTGCGAAATAACACCTAATATTAACAATACATGGAACCTTCTATTACCAGTTTGATCAGAAATTGCTTTAAGATAGTTAACAGTACAATAAGGAAACATTTAAGCGAAAGGTTAAGGTACAGGATGGTACCAAGTGTTTGCTACCCCCTTAGTTAATATGTAAATTTTTCAAAATTTCTACATTTTCAGTGAGTTCTGTTTGAACGTCAAAAGTCGCTCAAGTAAGAAATCTAACTTTTCCTTATTCTAGATGTACCTCGAGCCTAGTTCGCTAATTGGCCATTAATTGTGTTCTCTTGCAGGAAAAATGATTTGTGCTTTCCCAAGATAGAAGGCTGTCTTTTCTGTCTACAAATCACATAGTGGACCAGAGCTGCCCCAACCCTGCACTTGAATCACAATAGACGAAGATCACAAGGGCAACCTAGCTTTGTTATTGTTATTGTATTTTCAGTATTAAAAGCCAGGCTCTCCCCTGTTTGACTTACAGATTTGATAAGTTTAGTTGTTGTGAAGTTTTCTTGGTGTAGTTTTGATTTTTGTTTCGAGATCATTTATTTAACTTTTTTGTGGGGAGGTTTCAAGTTAATTTTCAAGGGTTGTTTTCATTTTGCAGTTTAACTTTCCTTTCTTTAACTTAAAGACTAGTGAGAGAGAGCTAATAAATGTTCCTTTTTTATATATCTCTCTCTTGCTAGTCCAACACACCCATTATAAATATTTGCCCTTTGTTATATTTCATTGTGTTGTGTTTGTACTTTGACTTTAGTTTTTACACTTTGTGTGTTGACTTCTTTGCAATGAACTAAGTCAGTTTGAAAAGTAATGGACCCATACTCTGCAATGTAATATCTGTCAAACCTCCCATTAGTGGGCCCTAATTAACTGCTCTGCTGTGAATCTGTATTAAGTTAATCATTAGGCATGCTCAAATAACTTGTATTCAACAGTCATTAATGATTACATTTATAAGAAAAAGCTATCTTCTGACATCCAAAAAGACAACTCTGAGTTTAAATGGACTGTGATTTCATGTAATATACAAGAATATGAAACATTTTTTTACTTAAGCAAGACACCTTACCGCATAATGAATTTCCATGATTTATAAATAAAAGTAGTTTGTTTTTATTCATTATCAGAGTACTTCGAGCAAAATGTGCAAAAAATTTCAACTTACAGCCATAGCCACAGCCATGTCAGACTCTGTAACAGTATCCATTGGAGAGGATACAAGAGGAGCTGCCAAAGTTATTTGCTTAGTCAGAAGTGAGGTCAGATCCTATAACAGATTTTTAAAAAATCAACTGTTAAAACCTTGTACTAAATATTAGTAATATGTTTAGCACATTATGAAAAATAAAAAATTCACTGATTAAAACATTACACCTTCAAAAATAAAAAAATAGTTGGAATTTTCCCAGGAAAGTAAACAGCAATTTAATATACAAATTAAGATGAACTAATATAAAAATTCAAATAAAAT